AACTCTCGAGAAACCTATGTTGTTCCCAAAGCATTAGAAACTTTGAAAACCGGTCCAATATCAGAGTGGCAGCGGCATGCCGCATCGCAATAATCTTCAAAATTCTGTCCCGGTAACGAATCTAATCAACAAACTTTATTTTTAGGAATAGCATTTCAAGGCGTACTTGATTTGAGCAAAGAAAGTTTTCATGTGCAATTTAAAATTGCATGTAAAACTATTAGAAAGCGCGCACTTGGGCTTAGTCCAGGTTTTTCTCGGTGCTTGGGCTGATCCGATGTTCCGAGTAAGCCATCTCCCCTCAGAGCAGGGAGATACTGCGTCAGCGTACAACATTCAGGGGCACGCTAGCGTGTCAGCGACCAGGAAACATAGGCGATCTAACACAGGCTCAGGAAATCAAAATGCTAGTTCGATACCTATTTCCTAGTCGGTCAGCTACGCTGCCACACGCTCAGCGCTGAGGCAAAGTATGAACGCACTTTTATCGAGACAGCCCGGCCTGTTTTACCACGGTTTAGTCAACAACTGACGGGACTCTGACATTTCAGAGCATAAAGTGACTTTGCATGTTAGAGGGCAACCCCTACCGAGGCACACAGCGCCAAAAAAATCTGAAAGTAGTGTTTATGGTACCAACCCTTGCTCAGTGTATATGTCGCTGAACTTCTCCAGTTGTTCATGTTCTGCTCCAGCCCAACCGATAAGTAAAACCACAGGCTTCAAAGGATCAACAGGTAGAGACTTTTCTGAATTGAGCTACAAACGTGGACTATGATTTGCAGTTCTGAAAATGAATCCTCACTATCTGGTCCTTGAGGATTTCTCGCTATGAGACGAGGTTCATAAACATGTCGCGAAAAGAATAGTCGGGCCTGTTGAAATCGGCCAAAAAAAGAGCAGTAATTTCTTGCCAGCATCTGCTACGAGAACGATACTTTCCTCAAGAAAGGGCAAGGAACGAGCGAAGTTCGATAAGGAACCAGTGCGGCTTTCTGCCAAAAAAAAGTTTTTTTTTTCCTTCGAGTGACAACTGTAGGACTACACAGCACAGCAAAGGGCAATTTTTACCATAACACCAAGCTAAACCGTCGTTCCGATAATTCTGAGATACTTCGCAACATAAATGCATGTGGTCGCAACACAAATGAAAGTGGAACAGAAGTTTACTTGGAGGTATTTATCAATATTCCGCGAAACACAAAAAATACACTTAGCATAAAAACAACAACAATGAATGTTGGAAGAAGGAAACCCGTGGAAATAAAGAGATGAGAACACAGCACAAGGAAAGCAGTGGTTCCAAGGTCACGAGAACATCCATTGTGTACTAATCCTTGAATCAATGCAAGCACATTTTTTAAACAAAATGAGACCCATCATAAAATGAGCAGATATGCTGATGTACTTTAGAAGAGGTAGTGCAATCAAGAAAAGAAAAACGCAAGCAGTTGCTGGACGGTTTTCCATTTTCAGATAATCACAGGTTATAAAGAAACATCACATACTGAAGGAATCAAATAAATTCGAAAAGAGCGTCCTGTATTCAATCTATCTGTATTATATCCACGACATTTGAATCATTAACACACGCAGTGGTATCCTGCTTTCCCAGGCGTGATCGCTTACTAGATATTGCTTCATCTTCAGCCACTGGAATAATGAATATTTGTGATGTGCAATCTACTGGTAAGTGAAGTATCTAAGCAGCTCGAATAGGAAAGCGTTCATACTTCGCGATGTAGTCGTTCACTGCGAGAACGGTTTACTCGCAAGCAACGAATTCATTCACGCGGTCACACAAATCGCAGAGTATCAACGCAACTTACTTTTTAACAATCCAGGACCATACTTTGCGGCAGGAGAATAGGAGAATCGGAGAATAGAAGTCCTACAAGAATGCGCACAAAAAAAGCAGATGGGTGTCGATCTGCGCAGGTGAGAGCAGGACGGTAGCAGACTGCGTATTCAGGCGCATTCTTGTAGGA